TAAACTCATTTACATAGTAACAATTTCTAACAGAATAAATGTGTTTTTAGCCCAATTAATGGGACTTTTAAATCAAAATGTAAAAGAAAGAGATCTGGAAGTAAACAATATACAATATTGGGCAATATATATGTGGATTGTAAGTGGAGTGGACAAGCACCTGAAATCTCTGGCTGAACTCACACTTCAGCCAACTTGCTGGGCTGCATACTCCAGCCATACTCCCCCACATTTTTTTTTAACTATTTATAAACTTTAAGACCATTTCTTTTTTAAAAAACTCACCCGCCAAACCATCTAGCAAGTGTGTGAGCAATTTTGCTGCTATTTATTATTATTATTATTATTGTTGTTGTTGTTGTTGTTGTTGTTAGCCTAGCCTAGCAGTTTTAATTACAGGCAAGGAAGTCAACCAGAAGTCTAAATCAGCTGGCAAGGGGAGTGAGCAAAAACATAGCAAAAATGTTCCCCCATTTCCCTTAGCATTTTGAAGGAAAAAGTTGGAGGCCTCAAAAACAGCATTTGGAGCACATGTTCCCTACAGGCCATGCTTTCCCCCATCCCTGTTGTAAAGGATGTCTCACCCTAAAATCAGCACTTAGTTTGATAAAAATGGTTGTTTTCCTGTCCCATAAGATGATCAGCCCATTGTAGGTTTCAATAACCAAGTAGATGCCCATGTAGCGAATCCTGTAGGGTGGATGATCTCCTTCACCCCTTTGTATCAGTTCGTGGTGCTCCTCACTGAGTATCAGCTCATAGTTCTGGCAAGGAAAACAAATAATGGGAAAACAATACGATATTAAAAACTGAAGTATAGTGGGTTTCAAAACAATGAGTGAACAAAAATCATTTCAAGTGAAGAAGAATCATTCCCCACTTTATTAGTAAACCTGCCTTCACCAAAACCTTGACACATTTATCTACAGAAATATTAACATTTTTTTTACATTCATGTTAAAAAACAGCTTGGAACAGGAGTTTTAGGAGATTATCACAGCCCCAGCAGCCATTTCCTTAAGCCGGAAAACTCCCAGCTTTGAAAAGAGGCACAGTGAGCACCCCTGGGAGCGGGGCTATATCTGGGCTGGACCCAGGTGGCAATTTCGGCAGCTAAATCCTTGTGATAAGATCAGGATGCCGCCCATTTTAAATGTTAAGCTGGCTCAGGTAAACTGGTTTTATTCGTACTGTGATAATCTCCTTAGAGGTAACAGCCTTAGCGTGCCTTTATGCCAGGCGTAGGCAACCTTTTTGAGCCGGGGCCTGGGTTGCTGTCCCTCAAACAATGGGGGGGGGGGCTGAAGCGCCATAAATAAATAAATACATAAACAAACAAATAAAAATATATTTTTAAAAATAAAAAAAATATGCATGCACACTCTCTCAGCCCAGAAAAGCCATAGCAAAACCCCCGTGGAGATTTTGCCAAGAAAACCCCAAGAACAAGTAATAACAACAATAATATCATCATGGTGGGTGGTGGCAGCGGCGGCGACAGGACCAGCCTAAGACTGGTCCAAAGGGCTTGGGGGGCCCGCATCCGGCCCCTGGGCCTTAGGTTGCCTACCCCTGGTTTACGCTGTAGTTGCTAGGCATAGCATGTTTTCGTGTCCTCTCTTTTTTGTTGGTCTTATATGTAGATATGTAGATTGTAAAGCAAAGGTGGACAAGTACCTGTAATCTATGGCTGAACTCACATTTCAGCCACCTTCATTCTCTTTCTTCCTACATCAGCTAGCCTGAATTTTTTGCCTCGAATTTTGTAGTCTGCACTTTTCCCTTTTGAGTCCATGTTTGAAGAGCACATTTTATAGAGATTCTCACCATGAGATATTGCGAAACTTTTAATATTTCTAAGCAAACCTATTTCATATGTTTTTACAGAGAAGATGAAAACAGCTTTATTTTTTCTGCTGAATTCAGTCCAAAACACACTGCAAAAATAATCCAGTTTGAGACTGTTTTAACTGCCCTGGCTCAATCCTAGGGAATTATGAGAACTGTAGTTTGGTAAGACACTTTTAGAAAGCTCTGGTGCCACAATAAATTACATTTCCCAGGATTCCCTAGCACTGAGCCAGAGTATCAAACCTGATTATTTCTGTAGTGTGTTTCGGACCCCAGATGTGTAAATGACAATGATGTGGGATTGGTTGTTGCTCACCTTATGCTTTAGCATACTAATTACTCTGCTTGCAAATTGTGTTACTATCTCTCACATTGCATAGCAAGGAGTGTGAGGACTCTTATTTGAGAATCACAAGCACTCTGCTGTGAGGTGGATAAAACAAACTGCATGGATTTTTGAATCTTTAACAAAGTTCACAACGTACACTTCATACTTAAGTTGCCTGTTCTAGAGTTGTTTGTTTGGTAAAGTATTATTTGGAGCTTAATATGCAGATGAAATAATATGCCTTTTCAGAAACTAATCATTGATAGTGCTCTCTTAGCAAACCAGGAATGCTACTCACCTCCAAAAAGATTTTAATAGTCTTTGAGCAAGTGGTTCCAGTTGTGCCACAAGGAACGTTTTCGGTGATAATTCGGAAAGTTCCTGGGGTGGAGCTATTCTGTCCACAGTGATCCTAAGAAAAACAGATTTGGTTGGGGCAGAGGACATGAGGGAACAGTTGATTATTTTTTTTATGTAGTGGATAAAGGTTATTTCACTAATGACAATGTCAAGCCAGTTTCACAGTACCTGGACTAAGGTATATTCACACTTCCCATTGAAAATGTAACGCTTGTCATCAAAGGTGATATAATGCCCATCTCCATAAACAGCACAGGTACCTAAGCACTTGTTTTTGGTGCATTTCCACATTCTGTTCTTACATACACTAAAAAAGAAAGAGAAAAGGTAGCATTTAAAAGTGACTCCTCTGTTTGCACAAATATAAACTGCTGTATGTACATTTAACACAGAATGTTGTAACCCTGTGAAACACAGTTAAATGAAATATATCTTGAACAGATATATACATAGCATTTGCAGAGAAGAAGAGAGAAATAATATGGGGATTGTGGGTGAGGAAAGAGAAGGTTAGAAAAAAGACCAGGGTGTAGCATTCTTTTTCATAACTTTGGGAGAGCTGCAAAACCAGAAAATCAAACCAATAAACTATGTTGTTTCTATCACAGACAATGTAATGTTTAGGCTTTGGCCATTCAAGTGTATTAGAGGTTCAGAATTTTATATTGTGGAATGGCCAAAACACCCTTTCATAACACTTCCCTGATTTGTTCTGAAATGTTGAGGCATTGTTTTCTAACTGTGACACTATCAGTCATTGTCATTTTAAACTAGAGGTATATTTTAATTTGTCTTTATAAAGAAAATTGTTACAGAAGTTATTAGACAAATAAGCATAAATAATATTTTCCATGAATACTCATGCATTACAGTGTATGATAGGGAGAAAGTGAGTTTCACCACCACTACATGTTTTACTATTGTGCAATCTGTACAGACACTGAGGCCATGGCCAGAAGGTCTTCTCCAGGTGCCCCAATAAAGGGCAATGGGTGGCAACTAAGACGTTCTCCAATAAATGCTCAGAGAGGCCCCTTGGTGGCTGTGCACCTTTTTTCAGTACCAGATGAAGACTAATTTATTTTATTGACTTTCAAAGAACACCTTTGAATGTTCTGGTTTTCTGCTGTTCCTAAAGGGTAATGTTGTTGTTCCTCTATTGTATGTTATAATGTTATTTGATATAGATTTTATTTGCATCATCTTGGAAATTTTTATTTGAAGAATGGGAAATATATTTATTAATACACACATACACAGTATAGTTTATCTGCCTAAATAACCTAAAGGCATCAGAACCTGTCTGATCTTGGAATCTAAGCAGTGTCAGCTTTGGTTAACTCTTGGATAGCAATAAGGCTGTATTTCAGAGAGAGGAACTGGCAAAACCACCTCTGAGTATTCCCTACCTAAGAAAGCCCTGTGAGATTCATAGTGTTGCCATAAGTTGACAGGTGATTTGAAGGCTCGAGTACATGCATGCACACACGCACGCACGCACGCACGCACGCACGCACGCACGCACGCACACACACACACACAGCATCACATTTACATTATAGTTGTAGGTGCTTATATATAAATGAATATAGAAAGCTTTTTAGGTATATATGGGAGGGGAAGAACAAATCAACATGAAAAAAATAATGTAGGGAATGGACCCATGTTTATCTTGTTCAACCACATAATCTTCTTTTATAATGTAGATCATCTATTTATATTTTGTGTGATGTTGACAAAAGTCTATCTCTTTCTGGGTGAATACTTACCAAGTGTTACAGTCAATTTTGATCTTTTCTCCTGCCTTATAAGTGACATCATTGTGGACACATGGACACTCCTCCATAGGGATACAGCCACCTTTACCATCTGACACAAGCCCACTAGGGCACATGCAGCCAGAGACACATTGTGTGCTGTACTGTAAGAGCCAAGAACAAGACACGGTTTCAGAAGAGAGATAATAATTCTCCTAACGATATGATTTTATTCCTGTCTCTAGTCCAACCAAAGTGAGTTGGCTCAAATGATTGAGGGTGAAAGCCTGGAATTGTTAACAATGAATGGCTACTTAATTCAGCAGTTCCAGTGTATACCTAAGAGATTCAAGGTCCATTTCAAACCTCAAATTAAAATATTACAGTTCAATTTTAACTGCCAGGACTGTATCCTATGGAATCCTGGGGTTTGTAGTTTGGTGAGACACTAGAGCTCTCTGGCAGAGATTACTAAGCACTGCACAAAACTACAGGTCCTAGGATTCTATAGGATGGAAACAAGGCATTTATTGAATAACAGAGCTATAATTATGTAATATTAGAGGGTTCCTGGCCAGGAGGGTAGGGGGATGGTTAATGTATATACAGGGATCTGAATGACCAATGGCTGATCCATTAATTGGGATGACCAATGGCTGGTTCATTAATGAAGGCAGATAGTTCCCTCACAGCCAGAGTGAAGAGCCAGTGTGGCTCAGTGGTTTGAGTGTTGGACTATGAATCTGGAGACCAGGGTTTGGATCCCAGCTCAGCCATGTAAATCCACTGGGTGACCTTGGGCAAGTCACACTATCTCAGCCCTAGAAGAGGGCAATGACAACCTTCCTCTGTAGACACTTGCCAAGAAAACCCTGTGATACATTGCCTTAGGGTTGCCATAAGTCAGAAATGACTTGATGACACACAACAACAACAAAACAATAACAGCCCTGACACAGAATCCTGTAAATTGTGGGAATGGGGCAGGGCTGCTAGAGAAGGACTCTAATGAGTTTCCATGAAAGACTTGCAGACTTGCTGTACAATCCTGTTAAAGTCCAGATCCTGCATACATACACAATGCATATCAAGTGTCTGACAGCTCTTCTGACATTCAGCTCCAATGGCGCCTGCATTGGCATTTTTGCAGTCAAAGTATATCATGGGGGCAGTACATACTAGAAGGGAGAGAGATAAAGCATGCTATAAGTAAGAGATGAAATTGCAAGCATTGGATACAATGGGGAAAACAAATGGGGTGAACTCTGTGAGCATGAGTGTGCCTGTAATGTTTTTAGAACTATCTTTCATGACCTGCAATGTCCTTTCTACCAAAGTACAATATGTTTTCTAATATAAATATAATGTTTGCACTCTAGAGATGTTGGGGGACAGGTTGGGTCTTTTTTACACCTGTCTATACAATAAAGCTTGTGACTCCCCCCAAAAATAATCTACACCCCACCCTATTCATCTTTATTCAAAAGCAATGTCACATTGTTCAATTGAATTCAGTACAAGATTTCAGCCGGATGATTTTATTTTATTTTATTTTATTTTATTGTGGAGAACTGAACTTTTTGCATAGTTCTAACTAGATTCAACAGGTTAAAATTAAAGAGCAAAATGCATTTTAAGTATATAAATACAGTAGGACTGTGTATTACATGAGTTCATATAATACAGGTTCACCATGTTGGAAAAAAATATGTTCTCTCTAGGCATTTTCTAGGTCTTCCAGCACAATTCTGTGGTATGCTTCTACTGGAAGTTGACCATAGAGTCATGCTGGAGGACCCAGAAAATGCCTACAGAGAATACTTTTCCATTTATTTCAGGTAAGCAAAATAGGGTTCTAGATTTTATGTGAAAATCATCCTATGTGAAGGGTCCAAGAATGGGTCCCTCATGTAATATATGGGCTGCCTGTATATGTATACATATATATTCCTTACCTGGTTTTGAATCTCCACCACCAATGCAATTCAGCTTTCCTTTGCTGCAAGTGCTGCAT